TTAACGAGAATCTCATTCGATTTCACGAAATCGAAAGGACCCACTACACACGATAACCATATAAATTCAAACGAACACATAAAATCATAGGACGTATAAGTTAGTTCATACAGGGCCGTCCCGGGAAAATTGGAGACCCGGTGCGAAACAAAAAATGTGGCCTACTAGTTTAGAAAAAATAGTGTTTAATGTACCATATGATGTAGTATGAAGTATATTACAAGAAGATATATCAATAACAGTACCTATGTTGCATAGTCTTTACTTGAATAGCATCATTCTTTTAGTGTTCTTTGAAATAAAGTCTTCAACAATATGCTCATAATCAATATTCTCCAACATTTCACCTTCAAGTGCTATTATAGCCAAATCATTAAGCCTTTCTTGTGTCATTGTAGAACGCAAATAAGTCTTCAATAGCTTCAATTTAGAAAAGCTTCGATCGGCTGATGCAACGGTGACAGGAATAGTCAATAGAACTCTATATGCAATAGTTGCATTAGGAAAACAACCATGATCCTTTAAAAACCACAGAATTTCAATAGGCCCCATTCTTTCTTCTGGAATAAATTCTCGTAGAAACTTCAACTCCATGTATAGTTCTTTGGCATCAATATCAGATTTTCCATCCTTTTTAAGGGCAGCCTCAAGATTATCACAAGAAGACTTCAAGTCTTGGTCATCCAAGGTCTTCAATGTTTCTGATGTAAATAAGAAACCAAATTTTTTTTGGTATTCTTTGTACTGCTCAAATCTCATTGTAAGAGAGATAATAGCTTGATCAATAAGAGGATTAAAATACTCTACTCTAAATAAATCCTCTGGAGACATTGCGGCAATATTTGGGTCTTCTGGAGTTTCATCATAATGTCTCTTTCTTTTAATTGTTCTTTTTTTTAGGAAATGTTGTACCAATATCCATCTCAAGTGCAATTTCTTTGGCTGACTCCAAAGCTTTTAAGAAACCGGTTTCCCTATAGCCTTCAAAGAAAGAAATAAGCCCTTTCACTTGCTCGATAGCAACATCAATAAGCATATCCTTTGCTTGCATTTTTTTCCTTACCAAATTAACATCATACAGTACCTCATACCAAATGACAACTGCCACTATAAATTCATATTGTCCAAGTTCATTTTTTGCTAGACCTTTAGCCTCACTGCTCTTTCCCGGATCATTATTAATATCAGATACCTAAAATTTATAAAAGCAAAACATTTTAATATATGAGGTAACAAACAAAATTAAATCTTTAATTTTATACCAATGTGAACATGTTGGGTACCTGAAGTAGAGCCTCCCGAATGTCTGCACATTGAAATCTGATAGCTTTAACACTGTCAATTCGACTCTCCCACCGTGTAGCTGAAACTGACTTGACAGTCAATTCAGTTATGTTATCTTTTAGAATCTGCCATTTTTTGGTAGAGTTAGCAAACGTTGTGTATATACGTTGAATGATTCCAAAAAAGGCTTTAGCTTTGCCATAAGTCTTAGTAGCCATATCACAAAGTGTTAAATTCAGACTATGACAACCACAAGCAGAATAGAAAGCTCTAGGATTTACATCCAAAAGTTTTCTTTGTACACCTTGATGTT